TGTGACAAATCCGCTCCATTGGTTTATTAATCTGTTCATAATGTTGAACAATCCGCTCCATTGGTTTATTAATCTGTTCACAATGTGATCAATCCACTCCATTGGTTTATTATGTTTACACAGTGACCCTGACAATGGTGGGCTGTCAGGGCCTGCAAGGCCTTCTCTGCTGGCCTAAACAGAATCACAAAGTTATAGCTATTTTCTAATTTTTCACAAATACACTACATGTATTATAATTTTTTTTCCCCATTAGCTTATTTTCTCATTGCACAGCTCCTGTCTTCCTCTGTTGCTCTGCTTCCAGCACAGCTTGTTTTAAGAGAGCTTTTATCCAATCAGATTCAGCCCTATGTCTCTATGTAAGGAGAAAGGCCCAAGGTCCTCTAGGCAGACTTTGCAGATTAAAGTAAATGGGGACGTTATTGTTGATTGTCATAGTCTTCAACCAATCAGATCTTTAGTATGACATGTTGGGCGTATTCTTTGACGTGCCAGTGCTACCCAGGTAGCCTCCTAAGTACGTCTGCATTAACGTGCGCCGTGATTGGTCAGTGGGCCAGCGTGACTTTTGTCAAACAGAAAGCTAGCTAGCAGATCTTAGTGTTTAGTAAGAGTTCAGGTTGAAACATATGGAAGAGAAGTTATGACATTTTTAGCGTTTTGCTTGGTGCAGATTCTGTTTTTTTTTTTACCTTGCTGTGTTTTTTTAACGCTCAATGGCTGAAGAAGGAGAAATGGATTTGGGAGTTACTAACTTTGTTAACAAAGAAAGGAGGATGGACTTTGTCTTAAAGGGAACAGCAGCACTGGTAAGTCAACTGCTTTTGCATTTTTTACATCTGCAGTAGCGTTACTACTGTGTTCATTTGTCTATCGTGTCGTTTTTATGAATAATATGAATGGCTCGTGCTCTAGCGCTGCAGCGTTGCTGGATTGATTTGTCATGCTTGACATTTTATGTTGTCATATAAATATATGTGACTGGTTCTTGTGAGTTTGTTCTTGTCATTTTGTTAATTACATTGATTCTGACTTGTCCGTTAATGACGAAGCATCCCATCATCGCGGGGTTATTTTGGACATTTGATTCTCTGTTCAGTAGGGAACAGCTAACTGCTGTTGTTTCCCGCTAAGCTAGTTTAGCTTAGCCTCCCTGAACACACGCGGGGCCTCAGCTGTTTTTTGTTATTGTTCCGGTTCAAAAGGTTACAGCCCGTTGTCTGTTACGTGAGCGCAGTCCACTGAAAATCATTATATTTCCCACAATGTAAGCTTCTGCATTGTCCAAATGCACTAATATTATTCAAACATATTGTTCGGTTCGTAAGCCCCGTACCGAACGGTTTAATACGAATACGTGTATTATTACACCCCTAGAAACAAATAACCGTAGCTCAGTAGGACAGCACAGAAGGCCCAGGTATAAAATGCACGGCCCGCCACTGGACCCTGAGGACATACTGGATGGTTTGAAGCCAAGTGTGAAGTAGCTGGGATAAGAATCAGCACCTCCAAATCTAAGGCCATGGTATACTGGAAAATTGTGGATCCCAACCATTTGTGAAGGAGTTCATGCATCTTGCAGTCTTGTTATTGCGTAAGGTTAAAATGGAACATGAGATCACAGGCAGATTAGTGCACCAAAGACAGTAATGCCTATTGTAGTGAAGAGAGAGCTGAGCCTGAAGTTCAGATCTATGTTCCAACAATGTACCCTGCCTTCAACCAATGTCAGCTGGGATGGGCTCCATAATTCAACCATTAATCTTTGTAAAACGTGAAGTGGTAGTTGCAGTACTTTTCTAATCCTGGGTCTCAGTGTGAGATTCAAACGACTTTCCAGGCTTTTTGTTATTTCAATTCATGGCGAGAGACAGTACAGTCTGGAGAGATACAGAAGGGGAATGATATCAAAGGCCCTGGTCCATGTACATGTTGTGTTTACATGCTCAATACCAGCCAAAGGCTGTCCAGCAGTCCTAGACCGACAACTAAACCCATGTCATTGTTTTGCTGAAAATTGTCAGACATTGAATATTGCCCTTAAATCCAAAATGAGAGTGTCCGGTTTCACAGACCTGTATTGGTACAACCCTACTGCTAGGCCTCAGTCAGGGAGTGGATTGGTAAATGTGGGATGACAGCCGTGCAAATACCAACAGGCTGGAATGTTCTGGAATGGTCTCTGTCTACACAGCAGATGTTTGACCGAAGAACATGGCACTCCTCTAAACAGGTTATGAGAGCGGTCCAAGAATGTGTGCATGCGTGTTTCCTTTAGTGCTGAACTGCATGATCTGCTGCCGTTGGTGTTAAAATGTGGTGTGAGCTGGTTTGCCTAACCTGGGGTTCATCACCAGCCGCCTGAAGAAGTACGTCCAGGTGATGTAGTCCATTGCATCCTGTTTGGATGAGATGGTTCCTGCAGCAATCTCAGCATTCAGATGGTCTGACAGCACACTGTGGAGGCTGGAGATACGGCACACAATCACAGGAGAGCCAATTATCATCAGCCAGATGGGTTTTAAACCTCAATACTTCTACTCTACAAACAGTAATAAGTCTGTACCACCAAGAAGATTAGCTAGTTCATTGATTAGCTGATCAACAACACATACTTTGCCAACAATTCTGAATATTAAATAATAGTTTAATTCATTTTCAAGCACAAATGTCAAAATATTGGTAAATGTGAAAATGTGGTGCCTTATGATACTCCTGAATAAAATGCCTTTGTGTTTTGGACTGTTGCTGAGACAACACAAATATTTATTTTTGAATCAGATAGCTCCTGATCAAAATCCAGTTGCCAGTTTTAGACCACTGCAAAGTTCTTGTATTCTTGCATTTATTTAGCTCACCATCTTTTGGTAAATGTTGAAAAAAATGTAAACTGAACTAAACAAAAAACATGTTTACATTTCTCTCCAGTAAGGAATCACAAAGAAGACTGGTTTGGTGTCAGGTATTAAGTCAGGATTGGTATTAACACATCCAAAATCTTCCAACAATCCCCGGCCTACTAACGTGGACACCACTACAGTATTTAGTATGTAAATAGCAGAGGACTCATTTCTCGTAGAGAATCAGGTTTTTAGTCTTGTGTGTCTTGTGAGACTGCGTATACGTTCAGAAAAGCTTTTGACTAAACCTAGTGATGAAGTAATCAGAGGTAAACTCATTTCTAGAAGTAGAGAATCACAAGTTCAAACATCATTATGAACCACAAGAGCAACATGGATCCATGAAGACATGTTTGACCCTCCTCACAAAGTCAGTCACAAGGTTACAAGCTATCTTTTGAGAAGGGAAAACTATGTTATGGTGGATTTCAAGGTATTCCTCTTTTAATGGGTAACAGTGTGACAGTGAATACTATCTTGTTCATAGAGGAAAATCATTTCTAGGTCCAGCCCCTGGTCTTTGATAGAACAGACAAAGGTGGGAGGAGACAGCAGACGTGTGGCTGTTACCTGGACTCAACGGGGAAAGGCTCATAGAGGAACTTCTTGTAGAAATCCTTCTTGATGTCATGGACGAGGATCACGGCTTTGCCCTGGTCATCAAACTGAGGCCGACCTGCTCGGCCCATCATCTGCAGGACATCTACACACACAGCACAAACATCACAAAGCTGTCACTTTGTTGTCCAGAATTCTCCAAAGCTTAACTGTAACTGTTTTTAAAATGAGACTCTGTCCCTCAGTCGATTTCCAAGGTTGAGATTAATGTGATTAATCAAATCATGTAAAGTCATAATGTAATGGGGAAATGACACACAATCGTCATGGTGGCAAAACTAGGAATTATACCTTAAGGCACAAACGCACTGAAAGTGATAAATGAAGCCCTGCACTGCAGGCATCACATCTGAAGTACCAGCACCACAGGAGCAGCAGTACTTTAGGAAAGCTCACTATTTAGTAGGCAGGATTTTGTAGATTACAGAAACCCCTTGACAGCTTATCCTTTCTGTCACTGATATGATATGAATTGAATGTGAATTTGACGGCAAACGATCAATGGAAGACGAATCACTCTGTTTGAGTTGTTGGCATTACAAAAACGCTTCTCTTACCACTTAAACAATCTTTGGCTGAGTACCGACACCGCGCTGCAGAGAGCACACAAACCGGCCGCCAACTTACAAACTCAATTTATGTTAAGTAGCTGACAGCTGATGTGAACTACTGCCGGCAACGTTTGCATTTGAACTAGATAAAGCATCAGTAGTAGTATTATTAATAATTATTATTTGTTTAAACAATATTCCCCTCTGGGGAACAATCCTTAGCTTTGTATTCCTTTTAGCTTCAAACAGAAGAACTGCTTTGGCTGCTGGCTCCTCATTTGAAGCTCCAAAATCACATGTCGAAGAAGTTTAACGCGCTGCATAAAGATTTTGGTTCAACCATTTGAAACAATAGTTGTATAAGTGTGCATCATTACGTCAGAAGCTTCAGTGCGGTTGGGCCTTCAAAGTGTCATTAGCGGACATTCATTCCATTGCTTTCACTACACAAGGATAATGTAAACATCTCTCCTGCTGTGGTAGATTAAGGGAAAGTGTCCTGTATGAGAGGCGTCTGCATACCTGTAATGGGGTAGTCCACGTAGCGCCTGGATTTACCATCAAAGTATTCAGTTCCCTTAACGACCACCAGGTGAGCAGGGAAGTTCACCCCCCAAGCCAGAGTACTGGTGGCAATCAGAACCTGAGGAAAGAGACGAGACCTTACTGGAATCACACAACAACATTACACAACTTTAAAGAACTAAAATAATAAATAATAACTTAAAATGTCTACAGAACGAAAATAAATAAAACAATGCAGTATAGTTTGAGTAATGTAAATGTTGAGGAAAACATGGGAACATGGGCAAAATGGGAATGTATATGCAATGTATCCATCACATCCACAACAATATTTTAAGCAGATACCACAGATTTCACATTTCAGACCAAGGCCAGAGCTTTAAGCTGACCAGCTGTATAGAATCTACAGTAAACACTTGGGTAGGTAAGCTGAAGGGTGAGCAACATATGTTAAGTAGTCTGCTCAGGTGTGGTGAGCGGTCTGAGGTCGTACCTGGATCTTGCAGTTGACAAACAGCTCCTCCACAGTCTTCCTGTCTCTCTCATGCAGGCCTGCGTGATGCATGCCGATCCCAAAGGCCAGTGTTAGCTTCAGGTTAGAATCCCGCACTGTGGCGATGATAGCCTCTATCTAGAGACGGACCAGAGCACAGACAGCGACGGATCAAACGAACCACACTCAATGACACAGCAGATAAGAACATTGACAACACGCTCGTGTTGGTTTTATGCAGGGTTACTGTAAAACTGTTTTCTCTCCAGTAGGGATTGTATCCATACTAGTACTCTTATGGATACTGCTTATTGGTTAGGCTCCTTATCGATGGTCTTATCGGTTCTTTTTGATTCTTTTATGAGCAAAAAGAGGAATAAGAAAGAATCCACATTGCTTTATTATTCTTGTATGTAAACAAATAGTGTTTCTTGAGCAGCATAGAAGTTCTAAAATCTTTAGAAGACATTCTCAGCTAAAGAATTATCTAAGTGATTATCTTTCATTGATAACCCTGTTCTTCTGATCAAACTCCGTATGACATGCTGCTGTTTCCTCTCGTACTTTTGAGGGTTTTATTGGGTTTGAGACAACCAGAATTCTCAGCATCTACTGGAGTCAAATGTTTTCTTCTCTCTGATCATGATGCGAGTCTCCCGCTGTGCTGAGCCGGAGACACAGAGACAGAGAGAGGACGTTTGAGACGAGGACATCTCACTCCAGAACTACGAAAGTACCGATAGCACAACTTTTCACTCCGGACTGCATCGATACCGACAGGTTTCTACTCATTTACAACCGGTTCCTGTTTAGAACCGGGTTTCGGGGGCATCCCTACTCTCCAACGTTGTTGTGACCTGACACCTGTAGAAGGATCATTTACAAGACCACCATAGTCCCAGTTCATTTGCAGACATCATGAGCATGGCTCTCCTCTGGTTGCAGTAGGATCGGGGCATCTTGCCTTGTGTTATCTAACGTCTTCCAGCCAAGACAAACTGTTGGCTTCAAGGTCAAACAGGTGTAACTGGTTTCAACTGGGTTCTGTCCTCCATATTGTGTTCTTTGTCTTTTGAAAAATACTATATTTGAAGGTAAAGTGTGAAAAAAAAGCATCGACTATGCACCAGTAAAACTGATATACAGAATATCTATATATATATATATATATATATATATATACATATATATATATATATATATATACACACATATATATATATATATATATTCTCACTATAATCAATTATTCAAACTACTATGCATCTTTCAAATACTAATAATAAGTAACAGAGTGACTGCTCAGGCCCGGCAGAAGAGAGCCTTTGGGGCAGCAGCAGAGGAAGAAAGAGCTGTCAGGTCAGAGGGGGGGTTTGAGGCGGTGGGTGACCCCCGGTGAGAGTTAAGCAGCTAACGCCAGAAGCCTGTCAGTCAAATAGCAGGGAGCTGAGCTGCTACACAGGCCAGCGCAGAGAAGCAGCAGCACATGTCAGCGGAACACACACAGAGGCCAGGGACGCTGTGCACACACAGACAGGAACTGGGCCTCTGTTATGTATCTGCAGGGTTCAGGAGACACAACTGAGGACTATGTATCATCTCTCAACCTGAACCATAGTCAAGTTCATAATGCTACAACATGCATACTAATAGTAAACAGAGGTGACCATTGAGATGATTGTCAGCAAGTGATTTTTCCACAAGCCTTCTGCATTTTCTGTCACTTTATAGCCAAGATGAGGAATACTTTCCTCTGAAGATCAGCCCTCCACCTGTATGATCTATTAAACACACACAGCACTACACAAGCTCTATGACCCAAGTGAAGGCTCAGTGATGCTTTGTTTATGGAAATGTCTCAAAGGTACTGATTATACAGTTTAGATCTCCATGTAGCAAATCTTCTTCAGACTTAACTTCAACTTGCTTCAACTATTTAGACGGACTGAGCCACCGCTGCTAAAAACAGTCCGATCGATCTCTATGTTATTCTGGTAAAATAGTCACCATGAGTGAGAATGGAGGGATCACATATTACACAAAAATCCATCTCTTCAGGCTTTGAGTGAAGAGGATGTGTCCTGTATAAGCCACAGCATGGACCAATCAGGCTCCTGTGTATAAAGGGGAGCTGCTATACATCCTGTCATACAGGCCAGAGGAATGTGTGAGCCGACACATAGAGACACTAGCTCGTCCTTTTAATTGCCCCGGGCATGTGGGCGATCCGTAGAGTTGAGCCCACATCCATTTAGAATCGCTCCATGCTCTGCAAAGCCATGTAATACATGTTGTTTCACTATAATATAACAATGGCATAAGAACTGGCAGGAAGACGGATATGGCGGTCCCGTATGCATGTACTCCTGCTCAAAGGGTCATTTGGTGGGGAGAGATTCAAGACTAGCACCTTTTGTTAATGCTCCAAAACATCAGAGGACAGTTGAACGTTTCTTAACTCACGAGCATCATGCTGGGAGCCTTTAGAGTGAGAGTCTCTGCAGCTGGTGACAGCATGTGTATTTAGAGGAAACAATGACTTCTGATTGTGTATGGGTTAACAGAAGGTTAGGCACTGCTGCTAACTGCAGACAAGAATAAAGATGTAATGTACACTGTACTATGCAGTACATGACTAGGTGTCTATGTGTCCGACAGAGATGAAATCCTGCTCAAGTTTAAATAATTATACAACTTTACAAAAGCAAAGAAAGGGACATCCATTGAAATACACATTAAGTGAAGGAAATGCACAAGAACGACAGGCACATGTGCTAATATCTGCACCATTTCCCTCTTACCTGCAGTGCTATTGATCAATGTAGATGGTTTTGCTGTGACTTGCCGAGTCCTGGAGATCTTCTCTCCAGTATAATGAACTAGATGGCTCTCTGCTTGTGGTGCTCAAAGCACCAAAACAATACATTTGAGAAACTCAAAAGCAACGTCCCAGAAATCACGAGCCGGTTACTGAAGATATTCCACAGACCGTGTTGTGAGCAGTTTCATGTAGGAACTATTTTCTTTCGTTGAAACTACACCCTCCAACAGTATCACTGCACAGAAGGAAGCTTGCATGATACGAATCCTGCGAGCGCCTTGTGTGTCCCGCCATCTAGCAACGCCACTACCACTCCGGTTTTGGGGTGAACTGACCCTTTAATACCTGCCTACACGAGCTAAATGTGTATGGACAAGGTCGAGCAACCAGTACTGATCACTTGATGCTTCTGGTTTATCCAGCTTCACATCTACTGCTTTACTTGTGGGTGACCTGCTCTCCATACTGTCCCTGAATGCATCCTGTGTAGACACAGACAGAAGACAGAATCTGCTGCTGCTGTGCCTCCTGTGTACACACAGTACAGCGTTAGCTTAGCGTACCTCTCTCTCGTCCTGGTGCAGCCATTGTTTGGGGTTGTCCTCTGTAGCCAGGAAGGCGATGAGGTCCAGAGCAGTCAGTCGAGTTTGCCGTCGTGATGAGACAAAAATCAGCACCGGCTTGGCTGGGGAGTGGCTACGTATCGCTGTAAAGATGTATATACAAGTTTCACATACTGTGTATTGTCTGTTTGTTACTGCTGTAGTAACCATTTTAGAATGAATTTGGGTGCAATGATGCTATGTTTCAAAATGCCTTTCCTGGTGGGTGCAGCACACATTAAAGAATAAGGCTGCTGTTATTATAGATATTATTTATTTTTCTTTCTGTCAATAAATCCCATTAAAAAACTAAAATCAAGTGTTAGTCTGTCACTGAATACTTTCCTCTCTGTCGGTTTAGTCAACTACAGCTACCAAAGGATTGTCAATGTGGTATACACTCAGATTCAGAACACATGCGTACTGTGAGGTTTAACAATGGATAACTTTGGATTCCTGGTCTCTTGATTTACCTGAAACACACACATGGATTGCATATTCCGCTATTATTACTTTGACATAACACAAATGGAAATAACTCTGCAGCAGTAAGCTGCTACCAACAAATCAAATGTACACATGTATAAAGGTGCACAAAGCATGTGCACATGTGCACGTGGAGCAGTACCTTGGAAGGTAGGCTTGTTCATGCTGGCCATGCGGGGGCAGTAGTGTTGCCCTGGGAAACCATGGATGTGAACTTCCAGCGGTACGGGGCGAACAGACGGACGGAAGTTAAACAAACCCACCTGTTACACAGAGAAGGGGGGGGGGGATTTAATGTGAGCAGCTGCCAACATGAAGCCCCATCTGGCTGTAATGCAAACTGTCTGTCACTGTCACTGAGGTACAGAGCAGCCGGCCACCGCTGGACTCTGCTGTGTTGGGTTTCACCTTTGATGCTGTGTCTGTTGTGTGAAGAGGCGATATGCTGGTAGTGGTATGATCAGCGGCACGCGATCAGAATATAGGACGTTGTGAAGAGTAAATGGTAAATGGACCAGTCAAAGTGCTTTCATTCATACAATGACAGGAGCTACCATGCAAGGTACCACCTGCCCATCAGGACTCTAACATTCATACAACATTCACACACACAGGAACAGCCTGCAGGAGCAATGTGGGGTTAAGTGTCTTGCCCAAGGACACATGGACATGGACTAGCGATCAAACCGCCGATCCTCTGATTGAAGGACGACCCTGCTCTCCACCGAGCCACAGTGGAGTGCAGTGCATTATTGGGTGTGCGTGGTGTTGAGGGCTGCTGCATGTCTACAGACATCTTCAAAGCCTGGCTAATGGACTGGACAGCTCAGTCCTGACAGATGAATGGATGGCAGACAGACAATCCTGACTTGATCAGGAAAAGGTTACATGACCAAAAGGACATTCAAATTTGTTTTCTCAACCTCATCCAGATCTGTGGAACTTGTACTGCTCCGGATGGTCTGTTGAATATTACTGATGGAGAGCCACACAGTCAGTGTTCTGAGCGGTCCCTACCTGGGCTACCGGGATACCTTCTAATGGACCCACATGTTGGGACATTTTGACCCAACAATTTTGGCTCAAGGTGCAACCAAAAACATTCGTAATTATCATGTGTGAGTGGTTCTTTCAAATGATAGTTTTATAGACCTTTGATCTTCTAAAAAGGTTTCAAATTTTTTCATCAGACAAAAAATGAATAAACAAACACATTTTGACCATGTGTTTGGGCAGAGAAATGGTCAAATGTACAGTTATAAACAGTGAATAACGACAGCTTTAATGTTGACATGCTGGCCCAAAGAGAGACTCTACTGGTATTTGCTGTTAAGAATGGACAATATGAAAGAATGTAACAATAACCTGCTTTGAATCATTTGTTCACATTGTTGAGCTCAGACTGCAGTAATATGAGCCTTCATGGAGGTGTGTACAATATCAGCACTGGCCTTCAGTATAGAAACAGACAATAAGTCTTGTGTGTATCATCTCTGATGCTCCTCTGTTAGAAGCTGACAGATCAGCTCATCCATCTGCTTCACTGCAGTCATTCCTGATGATTAGGACTTAAGCATGGCATCCAGACACAGATGATTATAGAGATAAACTACAACATTAACTCCAGCCCAAAAGTAGCGGTTCATCTTAATTGCTATTATTATATACATTCAGTCCGATATGAAGAACGGCAGCAAATGAACCATAGAAATACAGAGCCAGACAAAGACTGTGGTTTGTGGCTGGCTTCAGTGCAGCAGAGCTCACTGTTGCTCATGAATCTGATCCCTCCATCTAACCAAAGAACAAGGAGTCAGAAAGTCACGAGAATCCACTGACAACGTGCTACTGAGCAGCCATGTTCTGATATGTGTGTGCTTGTGCCAGGACAAATATCTGACCTGTCCGATTCCCAACCAGTCAGCGAGGTCTCGAGCATTGGCCAGAGCGGTGGACAGACCGACTACTCGGACGGTCCTTGATGTGTGAGAGGAGATGAAGTTGGTCCGGGACACGATGACCTCCAACACTGGACCTCTGTCCTCACCTGGAAACATAATGGTACAGTCCAATCAGGGTGTTGAAGTATGACACAGTTATGTTTTCGTGCCTTCACGCTGGTATGGGTTTTATGAGATGCAACATTTGGCTGACAGACAGTCACATGCATACTATATATGCTGATCTGCTGCAATGTGTCTCCTCATAGCAAGAGGGCTCTGGGTTCCCCTGTGTGTGTGCAGGTTTACATGTTCTCCACATGTTTGTCCTCTGGCTTCCTCCCACAGTCATAGGTCAGATTAGAAAACAAATAATAATTGGAGTCCCCATCAGTTTATTCCTACTGAGACTGCACTGTTATCTGCACGCTAAATTGAGTTCACTTCCCTTTTCTCTTGGGGCATCTTGTCCATTCGTGAGCTTGTAAATATTTGCATAGAGCTGCACAGCTGCTGTCTGACTGAAAAGCTACTTTTGGAAGCAAAATTGTATTGGCACAAACTAGTGGCCATGAGCTTACATCTTAAAAAGAGCTTATGAAAGTATCCCATTCACAGCCACTCCTGCAGGTCTGCTGTAGGCTCTTACCCAGAAGGTGGATCTCATCGATGATGAGAATGGCTACTTTCTGGACGTAGCTCCTGTTCTGCCAGCTTCGGCTCACTCCGTCCCACTTCTCTGGTGTGGTGACGATGAGGTCGGCCTGAGCTATAGCTCTCATGTCTGGAGTCACGTCACCCGTCAGCTCCACCACTCTACACACAGGTAAGAACCAGGAAACACTTCAGCCTGCTCATTTCTCTCATTATTCCTGCCTTTTCATTATGGGAGGGTATATCTTTAATAAAATAAGACATAAATACACATGAGGCTTTTTCTATGACAGCAGTTCATGCCAACTCCATAATGTATCCTGCCTGTGTGGTGTCATCCATCACTTACTGAGAGGAGATGCTGTTCTCACTTACTTCTTCCCCAGTTTCTCCTCAATCCTGATCTTCCAGTCCTCGATCCTCTCTCTGACCAGGGCTTTCAGTGGGGCGATGTACACCACCTGAACACACAGCAACAAGTACAAGCAGTCATTCAATGGAGAGAAGCACTGCCAGCTGGATGTAAATGTCAACTTTCTTACCACAACTTCCCATGTTGGAGCATCTCTAAGCAACAGTAAGTTAAATGACTCACTGTGTTTATTAACATACAAATAATGCTTATAACGAGGTCAAGAAAAATGTTCCAAAAATCATAAAATGGGTTGATTGAACCTAAACGATGGTTGACGTTAAGCTACCGTAGTGTTTGACCACCAGTAAGACTTCAGGAGACATTCTTTCTATGAGCAGGGTCCCTGCTGAGCTTCACAGGCAGTGAACATGCAGGCATGTCAGGCACTGTACGCAGACAAAGCTATAAACAATGACCTCTGCAACATCACAGTACACTACAGAATATGATCACTAATAGAGCTCCTGCAGCCACAACCTGTGCATCTCCATGACCATGTAGTGTGTGGTCGCTTTGACTGAATGTGAAATTCAACATAGAGCATTGAATAGATTGTTTGCCATGCTTCTTCATTATTAATGTAATCAACACTTAGTGACCAGTAGGAACGACAGCAACAGGTCAGTCAGTCTTGAAACAAACATCCCGTTGAATTCAACAGTGAGATGGACAGAGCCATCGAGTCAAACCTTAGCAGTCGGATACTTGTTGAAGACCCGGAACATGGCCATCTCTGCTGCGATGGTTTTTCCAGAGCCCGTTGGCGCTCCCAGCAGAACGTTGGTGTCGGTGTGATACAGCGTGTGGAAGATCTGAGTCTGGATGGGGTTGAAGTGGGTGAACTTGTACAGGCTCTCGTACTCCTGGTTCCCCAAGGCTGTCACCGGCAGCGGCTGCAGGTCCAGCAGCTCTGAGAGGGGTGGGTAACGGGAATAGTTTAAGTATGTCAATGTTGTATCCTGCACAATTATTCATTCACTTTCATGAAATACAATAAAGTGTGATGCTGAATATGTGGACATGAGAATAACACACAGTTGTTGTTCAAGTGTAGATGTAATCAGAGAAAACAAATAGTGTGAACACTGTTGAACCCCCTTCAGCTTCTCTTATCAAAGTAACACTAAAGAAGGATCGAGTATGAAGTACGACTCAGCAACTTGATGATTCATTGGTGTCTTTGTATGTGTGACCACTATGCTCTCTCCTTTAGCTGTGTAGGGTTGCCTCCAGCTCCTGATCAGAATATATACGTACAGTATATATCTCTTCAGCTACTTAATGCTCCACTCTGTCCACCAGCTGCTCTGTAGCTGAGTCTGTCTGCCGTTGGTGCAGAGCAGGTAGAGCACAGTGCCTTTCTTCTTACAGCTGCCTGCTGAGCTAAAACACCGGGTTGGCTGATAATGCCGCGCTCACGTCACACAGTTTGAGATGGAATCTTGTTCTCCTTTACAACGAGCAAGAGGTCATATCATCAGACAACAGCTGTATGTCTACAGAGCTGGTCGTGTGAGGGTTAAAAACACTGTTAGAAGATGAAATGAGGTTTCACTTAGGTCCGTTCTCTGGCCCGATACGGGGCTACCTACCGACTCAGCTCTCTATTAAAAGATTGTCGAGCTGGTGTTCTGTCGAGGAAACTCGCCTGGCTTCTGCTAACTACCGTTACTCCTGACGTCTACCCTGCTTCCACTGGTAACGTGCACTCGGCCGGGCGCTTCTACCTAGTCGCGTCAGTTATGGCAGCTTCCCTCTTTTGGATCTGGGCTCTTGGTAAATTGCCAGGTTAGGTTTTAACGGCTAGGATTATAACTAAAACCGTAAGGGACTGTTAAGTGGACCGGTCACTAGGATAGCCATTAAGAACTCTTGTTGTTAACATACAATAGCTTTACCCTTTTACTGCCATGAGGAACTTCTACTACCTCAGCAAATGAATGCTCTTGAGAACTTTAGTTTAAATGCGGATTAGATATTTATTGCAGGATATATTTAGCATGGGCACAGCTACAGCTCTTCATAATAATATACGATACTTAATTCAATCAGGTTACAATTTCTTTTCAGGTTATACTCATTAATTGTCGATGCCGAGGCGGCTCGGTGGAGCTGGATTCACGATGAAATAAAAAAGTCCTTTGTGGGGTTTTCAGGAGCTGGAGGTCCGGCCGAACCTTCAGTTCTCCCCATTCCTCATCGTATCCCCACATTCCCATCAGGTTTGGTATTATTCCTGCGGTCTCCGTCTGTATACCCACGTCGCGGTGTTCCACCTCTGTCTCGCTTGCAGCGTCGTTGATGTCCTCGGGAGGAGGAGATGGTGATTGATAGAGCACCGGAGGTAAGCGTGGGCCAATGACGACGAACCGACCATCGACAAGATGGGTGGTAGATACCCGAGTACCATCAGGCAATTCCCATAATTTTGTATATACTGGACAGTACATACCATTGGTGTAGAATTGGATCTGAGGTTCAGCTCCTCCTGCAGAATTCCATATTACTTTCGCCTGTGTTTCTATTTCCATACAGTCGACTACATTCATTGCCGGTATAAAAGGGGTACTTCCTTTGCAGAAGATGCCGCTGGCTGCTCCTATTGGGAAATGCCCCAGGTAGCACTGGGTGCACCATAACGCAGGGGTTACCTCCCATAGATGCATTGCCTGCTCCGTGAGGATCCCACAGCAGATGCAGCCGGCACCTTCCTGTAATAAATTGAACACAAAGACTTCATTAATATTGCTAAATTAAGCGTTTAGGCAAAGCGAGCTTAGCAGGGGGTGATCTTATATTCTTTTTTTTAAGATCCCCTATTAGCACCGGACTGTGCCAAGGAGCGCCTCAAAGCCAGGCGACTCAGCCATGGTGATCTCAACGCCATCGGAGGTGTTAGGCCTGGGCTTTCGGTTCTGTCCAAAATCTTCACTACTATGTCGGATTTGTCGTACTTGGCTTTGACTGCAGAGGCCGGTGCACCGACCTGAGCCTTGATCCAGACTCGCTGTCCTACCCGAAGTGGGACTTTCTGCTCAAGCTTGGGTTCTTTATCCTCCAAGCCCCGCCCTACTTCCTGTGATGTGAAGGGGCGGTGCATCAGCTCCTCCGCTGGGGAGGGCCTGTCACTTCGGTAGCGATCGTTCAAGGCCCTGGCAATGTCCAGGGTCTTAGTGCTCCATTCTCTGGAGTTGGCATTTTTCCCAATCCAACTTTTCACCAAACCAATGGTCCTTTCCACCACCCCGTTGGCTTGGGGAGTGTATGGGGGAGAGAAAATCCTCATTACCCCATTCTGTTGGCACCATTGGTCCACCTTGGCGTTGCGAAAGTGTGTGCCGTTGTCAGTTCTGAGCTCCTTAGGCACGCCTAGGTAGCCACAGACTTGGTCCAGCATGCTAACAACGCTGTTGCCGTTAGCCTTTCTCACCGCTTTTGTGGTCACGTATCCTGACATCGAGTCCACAAGCACCAACAGGTACTTTTCTCCGTTCTTCCCCGATACCCCTAGGGGTCCTGCCACATCCATGCATACTGAACCCCAGGGAACGGTACTTTAAATGGTGAGTCCTCCCACCCTTTGTCCTCTCCTTCCTGCGTTGTATCGACCACACAACTCACAGTCTTTTAGGATTCGTCGGACTTCTCTTTCAGGAATCCAGAGTCGCTGCTTTTCCAGTTCCCTTCGCGTCGGTACGGTGCCTGCATGTCCTAGTGCTCCATGCACCGCCTGCACCACTTCCTTCACGTTCTCTTCTGGGACTACCCTTCCTTTGGGCAATTCTTCCCACTTCTCGATCCCAACAAAGACAACTTGTCTCATCTGGTCGAAACAGTCCACTTCTTCGTTTCCTTGCCAGTGAGTTCCTGCTCGTATGTGGGCCCTCTGGTGCACCACTTCGAGCTCCATGGTTAGCCTTAATTCGGCTATTTTCCTCCATAGGTCTTCGTGAGCCACTTTTTGGCTTTTAGCGCTCTCGAAACCATTTTCTTCCCATATGGACAGGTCTTCGTTAAGGGCCTGAGCACAGTAATAACTGTCTGTTATTACTCTGGCTCTTTTCACCCTTCTCCTCTCTAATTCGAGCAGACCTTCCAGTATCGCTGTTACCTCCCCGGTCTGGGCACTACTGGGGACTTGGCCTCGTTGTCTTGAGCGTTCCTTCTCTTTCTGCTTGAGAATGAACCCCCAGTAGGCCTTGTCGTCTTGTCCTTTCCTCGACCCATCGGTGTATAGGGTCCACTCCAACGGTTCAGGTGGTGTGTCGTCTGGTTGCGTCCTTTTCTTGCTTGCAGGCTGTGCAAGCCTTTTGTGCTTTCTACCGTGGCCTTGCGCAGGAATCGATGGACCTGGCTCTGGGTGAGGACCCTGATGCCCTGCCCTTGGGCTAGATCTTTCAGGGTACTCCAATACCTTGCCAGGACTGCCAACTCCTTTTCCTCTGCCGGGTATTTCTTTTCCACGGAGGACAGGGTATAGCTCCACAATGTCACTATCCCCGCACCCTTGTTGCTCACTTTTATCACTGCATCGTCCTCGTTGCAACTGACCTCTGCCACCAGCTTCGTTGTCAGACTTCGTGGCTCCAGCCTCAAAGCTCCTTTAATGGCTGTCCTCAGGTTTTCCAAGTTTGTTTGATCCGTCACTGTCCATTCCCACTTCTGGTGGGTCTCCTCAGGATCTCCTTTTCTCAACTTGGCATAAAGTGGTCTGGCGTACTTCTGGTAGCTCGGGACATGGTCCCTAACATAGTTGCAGAGTCCCAGCACCTTCTGTAGTTCGTTCAGCGAGGTAGGTGGGTCGATCTGCTCCACTTTTCCCCGAAATCCGTCTGAGAGTCCCAGGTCAGTAGAGACCTGGAACCCCAGGTAGTTCACTTGGAATTGTCCAAATTGGCCTTTCTTCAGATTTAGCTTCAATCCTGCCGCCGTAAGCCGTTCAACCACTTTTCTCAATTTCGCCAGATGTTCTTCTTCTGTATCATCTGCAATGAATACATCGTCGATGTATATGGTTGCTTCCAGACCGTCCAGTATGTCCATTACGGCTGACTGGAAAACGTTTGGAGAGTTTTTGTAGCCTTGTGGCAGCCTTTCCCAGACGTACGATTTCCCTTTGTGGGTGAACGCCGTCTTGCATTGGGAGGCTTTGGCTAGCCTCAGTGAGAAAAATCCGTTTGCCAGGTCTATGCAGGATTTGTACTTTTTCAGTCTCAGAGTTTTCAGCGTCCCTTGGGGGTTGATCAGGCTGGCGCGGTTGGCGACAGTTCTGCGGTTGAGGGCCTTGAAGTTGATGACCGGTCTCCATCCCCCTCCCAATGATTCAGGCTTCTTGACTGCCTGTATTGGGCTGTTGGTGATGGGATATGGCTCCTCTCGCACTACCCCCAAGTCGCTCAGTTCCGTGACGATCAGGTCCATTTCTGCAATTGCACCAGGGTTCAGTGGATACTGGCGGACGGGCGGGTGTACACCTCCTTCTATGCTGTGGGTATACTTCACCCCCAGGTCCCCACAGTCATTTTTGAACCGAGCCACTCCAGCCTTTGATAGGATGTCTTCTAGCGTTTCTTTTCCCTCCGGGGATAAGTCGCTTTCTTCTATCTTTTGCTTGCTTACCGGTGGAATGTCCACTGGTTTGTACCATTGCCTTGTTGCTGATCCCAGGTGGATCAATCTTGCCCCCAGGGTCTTTAGTCGTTTTTCCACCGAAACTCTGATTTTTGGGCTTCCATGCAGCCCTTTTAAGTCCTTTATTGTCATTAAATTGTAGGGTCCTAGAGCCCACACAATTCCTTTCCAGATCCCAAAAGGGACTCTTTTGATGGTTCCATCTGCTAGTTGAACTGTCAGGTGTCCTTCTGTTTTAAGGCTTTTGCGGGTCATCGACACTTCAGCTCCGGAGTCTAT